ATATGAATTGTGGTTAATTTTGGAGTATTCCTTGGTCCTTAGGGAGTACTCTTTACACGCATGCATGGAGTAGTCGCGATTTTTGCAGGGGAGTCGCAAATAAACAAAACAATCGTAATAGCAAACGAAAGTATTAACAAGCAGAAAGCTACCTTGCTTACTGTCGTCAGAGAAATTGCTGCTCTTCGAAATGAGAATGCGCGGGTGGTATCGTTGGTGAATTTTCTGTATCAAAATAGGAAACAACTATTGCAAAAGTTCGATGCCCTGCGGGCAGAAAAAATTTAAATGCAAACGAAACTCGCTAATAATGATGCGAATATATTGCCACTAACAACAGAATTAAAACATCTACGTGTAGGGTTCGAACGATACTATCGATACTCAGGGGTTTAAAATGAATACTTTAATACTCGATACCTTATTTGGTGAATTTACTCGATACTTTCCAAAGTACTCGTAGTATCGAATACTTTTTAAAAAACACACTTTTTAAATTTTTTCATCCATTGCTTTCTTTGCTTATATGGATTACTATCATTCAATTTTGTCCATCACTTAAACCAAACTGAAATTGCGTGTAGTCTGTTGCATAACCTAAACCAAATAAGTTAACGTTTAATGGCCTTATTCTTAAAAAATAAAGTAAATTTAAAGAGCTTAATAAAGTGACATTTTCATAAATTTTTCAGTTTATAAACCTATTTTTTATGAATACGGCCATAAAACTTTACGTAAAGTTCACGAAAATGCAGAATTTTTAGAAACTTTTTGGGTACGCAGTTTTGTAACCTATTTAGATTTACGTGTATCCTACTACCGTCGACTTTTAATTCAAACTTGCACATTATTATACTAAAATTGAATAGGCTACAAAAATGCATACCCTAAAACTTCACAAAAATTTCTTAATAAAACTTGAAAGTCGTGAAAGTAAATGACATGTATGTATGTACATTTAACGTTAAAATTACTTTTAACGTGAAAGTAAGTTCTGCAAAGAAATAAAAATCAAATATTTTAAATTTCTATTGTTTTAATTTCAGGAAATAACTAGATATACGATTGAAGAATAAAATAATTTTAGTATCCCAAAAAACGTATTTTAATGAGTCCGATACTGAGTAGTATCGATACTTTTGGAGTATCGATACCATGAGCTCGATGCCAGAATGAGTACTTCGATCGAGTATCGATACCAAAGTCTGGAATTTCGAACCCTAGTTCTGCGTGACATTTTGATTTGACGTTTCGCTCAATGAAATAAAATGCAAGCACAGGCAAGCCAATTTCGGGTGACGCCAAAAAAAAAAACAAATTCTACTGCGTGCGTACCAGAGACCGCTTTGAGTACTAATAAAATTAGTGTACTTATTCATGATCCATAACAATTAGTGCAAATGAGTACTTACACAAATTCAAAAAATGACTAAGAGTAATTTCCACCAAAACAAGAACACACTCAAAATATACTAACTCTTTTTTGTGGCGGCAATTTTTGGCTCTATCAAGTATAGTCTACCCAGCTGGATTTTCCTCATTTGGTCGACTGAGAGGCTGAAAATGATTTCAATGAGTTTAATATTATTTGTGTTCTGCTTTGTGCTACATCAGTGTTGGCATTTTTGGTACAATTGTACTTTTTGTATTTTGTATTTTTACTACGCAGTACTTTTTAGTACAATTTTGCGATGAATACTATAAATATATACGTAGCTCTGAAAATTCACTGCGATTCCCGCATTTTTATCTTTTTGTCTTCGCCTTCTCGTTTTTGCCTTTTAAAGTTTTGAAAAAAGGGTTTGAAATAACCATTATAACATATCAAAAAGTGTGCTATCAACCTCACATTCCTAGCCAAGTTTGGAAAGAATATTTTCGATACTAAATCTTATTAAAACAAAATGGCGAAATCAGCTTCATATAGTTAGAAACAGTGTCATCGTTAATCCTTTATGCTCTTAAATATCACAACTTCACGACACTCATATATTGACTAGAGTTGACTATTTATTTTATTATTTTTTAATTCTAATTATTTGTTTATAAAAATATAGTTAATTCCTTAACAAAAACTGTATGAAAATAAGTTTAAATCTTTGAACAACATTAAAAAATTTACAAACTTTCGTAAAAATTTCGAGCTTTCTATTTCAATTTTAGTATAATAAAGTGCAAGTTTAAAGCAGCTGAAATTTGCCATCAATGTCATATTATCTAAACGCGATTTTTTTTTTAACGAAGAAAATAAGCAACACCTTCATCAAAAACTATAAACTATTTTAAACTTGCAATTCATTTAAATTGATCGGACTACAAACGGCATTCTCAAAACATATATTTCTAGGAAATATAGTTAAAATCCCGAAATTTTTACGAAAGTTTGTTGATTTTTTTAATGTTGCGCAAAAATTGAACCTTGGGGGTTTTATTAAAGTATAAACTGCATTTTTATAAACAAATAATTAAAATTAAATAATTCTAAGATAAATGGCCAATCTTGTCAATAAGTGAGTGTCGTAAAGTTTTGATAAGCACTTGAAATACTAAAAATAAAATGTCAAACTTTTGTACTGAATCCAAAGAAGATGTCTCCTTTATCCATGCATAATAACTTAAAAAAATTTGTTTGTTAAGAAGTGTACCTTAAAATATGTGCATACACATTTATGTTCAAAGTGTAAAATGTACCTACATAAACTAACATCAAATCATTGATCTTGAAGGGAATCTATGATGCATGTACTAAGAAAATATATGAGCAAATTAAAAAGTCGATGCAATTTACAGTCGAAAAGTATAGTTTTTGTATAGATTTCGTACTGAAGGAACAATTTCATTTCCCAACACTGTGCGACATGCGGGCGCCACCATAAACAAGTGTAAGCTAAAAGTGTGAGTGTGCCTTCGCATGCTCCCTGCAAAAATCGTTGGACCATGTAGTCTATTTGTGGTAAATTGGAGTATTTACAAAAGTGTTCCTCTGTCATGCTGTAGCGGAACAACTCGT